CTTCAATAACAAATACAATAAAGCCCACTTGCAACAGAAGACTTCTGTTTATAAACTGCTTAGCATGAAAATCACAGAATCACACAGAATCACAGAATGCTTGAGGTTGGAAGGGACCTCCGGAGATCATCTAGTCCAACCGCCCTGCTCAAGCAGCGTCCTCTAGAGCATATTGCCCAGGATCACATATAGGCAGGTTTTGAATATCTCCAGCGAAGGAGACTCCGCAACTCTCTGGGCAACCTGGCCAGTGCTCACTCACCCGCACAGGAAAGAACTTTTTCCTCACGTTCAGATGGAACTTCCTGTGGTTCAGTTTCTGCCCATTGCCTCTTGTCCCATTGCTGGGCACCACGGAGAAGAGTCTGGCCCCATCCTCTCGACACCCTCCCTTCAGATACTCATACACATTGATGAGATGTCCTCTCGGTCTTCTCTTCCCCAGGCTGAACAGGCCCAGCTCTCGCAGCCTTTCTTCAGAGGAGAGATGCTCCAGTCCCCTCATCATCTTTGGAGCCCTCCGCTGGACTCTCTCGAGTAGTGCCATGTCTCTCTTGTACTGGGGGGCCCAGAACTGGACACAGTACTCCAGACGAGGCCTCACCAGGGCTGAGCAGAGGGGCAGGATCACCTCCCTCGACCTGCTGGCAACACTTTGCCTAATGCAGCCCAGGATACCTCCAGCAAGTTCTGGTTAAGACCTCTGCCTAGAAACTCTCAGGTTCTTCCAGATGGGAGATGGCTTGCAGCCAAGTTTCAAAACCCTACTAAACACACAACATTCACTGAACCTTTTTAATAACATACAACAGTGTTCATATGCGGCAAGCACTTGCTCTTTCCTTAACCCTAATGACCTCCTCAGGGTACTTTTTCCATCTATTTAATTTCTTATCTGGGTTACAGGTACAAAAAGTAGACGGCTTAGGTTAATAGCATGTCCTAAAAAGGTTTATCTTGCCACAGATACCTATATCTATGTCTATGACATACCATGTCACAGATATCTATGCCTTTTAATTTTATTTCAGGTGTACAATGCAGGACATCACAAAAAAAAAAAAAAGAATGCTGCTTAGCGCTGCTCTGTAAAAGATTTGATGCAATTTTCCCCATACTCATCTGACAAATGAAAGAAATTGACTTGATTTCTTAAATTAATGGGTGAGTATTCACCATCTATGCAGAAGCAATTTTTCTACCCAGATTAAGATAAGCAAATAATGTTTCACATCTTTATGCCTAATCATTATGCAGTGGTGAAGACCTTTAATAGGATTTCAGGAAGGCTAAGAAGCTTACATAAACAGGCATAATAATATACCAAAATATACATTTTAAACAAATACTTACAGCCATTTCTGTTTTCCATGATTTTTCAGTTTTGCGTCTTTGCAGGAAAATATTTCCCTGCTCATCTTTGCAACAGTACATATGAACCTCCTGGAAGATTCACTTACAAGTTTATTATCACTAAATAGAAGACTGTATTTAATACAGAATCTCTCTTAAGTGTGTATAGTTTCTTACAGAATAAGGCCTTGGTTTTAATTGTAGTATTGTACAAATTCTATACATATAAATAAAATAAATACATACTAAATGAGGATATAAACATATCTGTCAGGTGATATTTAGGATTATGCATACAGGCTAATAAATACTAACATGAAACTAGTGTAATAAACAATAAAAGACTAATGGGAAAGCAATGACATTCAAAACAAATTTTAAATCATTAGAGTGGGAATATAAAATATACAAAAAATTCCATTTTGTATGAAACCTAAACCATGCAGCACAAGCTTCACCATTAAAAATTTTATATAAAACAATCTAATTTCAGCTGCTCAAAATGGAAGTACAACACTTGCAGGAGAAGCACATATAAAATAGAACATTCATTTTATTAACCTCAATGGAATTAAATTACAGTAGTGAATTTTTTTAAGCAAATCATATTTTAACTTTTATATATAGCACTTTACAAATTTAGTGGAACCACTGTTCTAATATATACTAATTTTAACAAATCAGACTTAGGAAATGGAATTACCGCCCCCTGGTGGCAGATCAAAAATCAATTCAAAGTGGTAAACAACTTCAAACTGACAACCAAGCAAATCTTTCACTTTAAGAATCGTGTCCAGTACGGTTAATGCCTGGAAATATCACAAAAAGCTAAAGAGCTATTTTCGTATGCAATAAGATAACAGTAAGTGGAGTATAATTTACATTTTCATATGCTAGTGCATTAACCAAAGAATTAATGTGGAAGAGATTTCATTATCAGTTTTATTAAAAATAAATAGTAATGCACTAGAATTAAACCCTTTGATCAACAAAATGCCATAGCTGAAATTCCTGACAGTTCAGTTTCTTCAAAACCTAATTTTCATTTAAAATAAGAATCAGAATTTACACTTTTCACGTGAATGTCAAAAAATTTTCCTGAATCTGAATCAGTGTAGGACTTTTCTTTGCTCAGTTACTTATTTCCACAAGCCCATTGATAGAGGCACAGGAACAACAGAATTTTATCTTATGAGCAGCTAGAAAAACAGTACAGTGTTCTTTTCTAAAAGATGTAAATGTTGACACAATGTTTTTCACATGGGTTAAAATGGAAATGCATGTGTCCTAATCCTCAAATTATAGTACTTAGTCTTCCTCCCAGAGTCTGTCTATCCAATAATCATCAAAATTATACGTAAAGATTTTTATGCTACATGGCACATCCATTACGTAACCCCAAAATAAAGTGGTTCAAGACATCTATTCCAAACCATTTTGCTGTTCCAGATGGAAAAAATTGCTTTATCACAGTGGGTTTATACGACCTGTGACAATAAATGTAAGATATGTCTTCCAGTCAAGAATACAAAGAGGGAGACATTTTGATTCCTTGTGGGAATATAGATTTATCACCTTGAAGTAGTTAGCAAGAATTATCATGTTCATAAAAAATGAATATGAATCAGGAATGTCATGCAAGTGTTTTATCTCACCGTGATGTGTTGTTGCTTCCATGGAGAACCTTTTGCATTTGCATTAGTCCCAGCTCTCCTGAGAATACAAACAAGCACCATCCGCATCTTCAGATCTACAACTCAAGTCTTCATGTCTCCTGATACACAAAAATCATAGTTTTGAGGAGTTAAAACATACTTTTTTTTCCTGTTTTTTTTTTTGTTATAAACTGATTAGAACATGAGAACAACATACCTCAGTTCTGTATGTCTCTACAAGGACAATTATTGTTACGCAAATCATCGACTAGAAATCAGTTGCTACAAAGAAAATCCCATCCTGTATCAAGAGATCTGATGTATCATCAGTGGCGCCAAATGCTACTCCAAAGGAATATCTAACCTGCAAGGATAAGAAACAGCTAGTAAATGGAAATGGATTCAATATTTTGTCAAGATAATAGAATGTTAGTTGACCTATCCCATCAGATGCATTGGAAAATGAATCAAGTCCTTCATGCCTTAGACTTCCTCATAGTAGACTAGCAGTTTCACAAAACGTCCAGTGAAATTCACATTTCTACAGAGCACCTGCTTTGAGGGTGTGGAAGGTGGGGGGGACTTTAATTTTCACCAAAAGTGTAGAGCAGGGAAGCAAAATAATTCAGAATGTTTTCATGTAAAAGAACTCTATGACAGAGCATCTATTGTACCATATGGTAGAGGCCGTTAACTGGCATAAACAGCAATCAATCAACACACGGTTTAACGGACAAAAAGAGTTACATGTTTTACAGAAATGTTTTCATCTGACAAACAGGAGCTAGCTACTAAGCGATGCAGACAAATGAGCAAGGAAACAGTCAGTGCCTGACAAAGGCTATCAGAAGTATGGAAGGATGCACGGAAACAGCCAGTGAATTGGGTATTTGGGAAAAGATTTGAGAACTCCTGTTGAGAGGGAAACGTGCAGGCTTAGTTGAGGCAGCTGCATTTGTTGGCTCCTCTCTGGCCCTTGAGGAACGTACTCAGCTCTTCCCCCACTAACGACTTGTAATTAGTGATTCTCAGTAGGGTCATGGGATCCTGATCTCCTATGGCCGCCTGCTCCTGGCCGGTCAGGACAGGAATGCATTATTTGGCAAGAAGCAATAGTAATTATTTCCACTTGTCTTCAAAGGTGCCTGGGCAGGGCACTTTCTCCTGGCTTACATTGCACATGGAGGGAACGCAAGGATCCTGCTTTCAAATAACTGAGGTAGTGAAAACTCCTGTTTTAATCCACTTTAGACCACTGGGGTGGTGAAGGGAGTTCCCCTTGCCACCCACAGCCCACTGGAAAGACACGGGGGGAGGCGGGAGAGCAAATCTTTTTTTTAATACTGCTTCGGGGTGGGGAAAGGGGGCAACAGCGCAGGGAGCACCAATCTGGGCGATACTCGAAGAAGCCTCCTTCCCCTCGGTGCTCAGAGGAGACATCTCCCCGGCGCTCCCGCAGGCGTGAGCCAGGCAATCGCCGCCGAGCTGAGAGAGAAAGGCGCCGGCGGCGGCCACCCTCCCCCCACCGCGACCAACGGCCGTTGAGGCCCCGGCGGGCGGGAAAGGCGGCGTGGGCGGGGCCGCTGCGGGCCCTCGCCGCAGAGGCTCATGGGGA